TTTGGAACTCGTCACAGCGACCGCCATTGCTTCCAACCAATATGGCAGGCGAGGTGCGGAAGAAGAAGGTGCTTATCGTAGGCGCGGGTGCTGCTGGTAAACGCCCCTTGAGACTGCCAGGAATTGCTCTGCTTTAGATACTGACACCAAGGAAATAGGCATGTCATGCGCCTACCACCTGTCGAACCATCCTGAGAAATTCGACGTCACTGTCATCGAAGCCGCCAACTACTGCGGCGGTCAAGCCTTCTCCATCCCCCTTGACAAGCAGAAGCACGGGGCATCATGGCTCAACCAAGGCGTTCAAGGTGGTTCTTACATCTTCCACCACACCATGACGATGTTCGCCTGTCAGGGGTACGCTGCCAACCCCGTCAAGCTTCAAGTCTCCTTCGGTAAGGATAATAGGTTCTGGACGAACGTATATCCCACCAAGCTCCTGGAACGACACCAAAGCGAAGTTAAGCGCTTTTACCGGATGCTATCATTCCTCAGATGGTTTGAGCTGATCTTCGCGTTGCTGCCCATCAAATACCTGATGAAGCTCTTCTGGTTCAGCTACGAGTTCGCGAACACGGTTGCTCTGCCCATGGTAGCCCTGTTTCTGGGCACGGGAAACTACACGCCTGACGTACCCACTATAATCCTCGAGCGACTGTGCACAAGTCCGACATATGGAATGTGGTATCCGGCTGATAAGGAGAGCATCGCCAGTAACATGCCACCCATGATTGTTTTTCCAAACTTTAGCAATTTTTACGAGGACTGGCGTAAGGATCTGGTGAAGAGAGGGGTAAACATTCGACTGTCTACCGAGGTAACCCAGATACTGAGTCGCGACAAGAATGGAGTGGTGGTCAAGACTATCAAGCGGACCCCAATGCCGGACAACCATAACGCTACGAGCGCTTGGGCAACTGAGGATCCGGTCATGAACGCTGATGCCGACGCGAAAGAGACAACCGAACACTATGACGAAATTGTAATCTGCTGCCTGTAAGTACTTTTCCGCTTCTCCTATTAGTGACACCATCTGAACATCATCACTTTCAGTGCCGACACAGCCAAACGCCTCCTTGGCCGAACCGCCTCCCTCCGCGAGCGCCAAGTCCTAGGCTCCGCCAAGTTTTCTGACGACATCACCATCACCCACCACGACTCCTCCTACATGCGCAAGCACTATGAGAACTTCTTCAACCCATCCCAAGCCGTCAACTCCCTTTCCGGCGTCGACCACTTCTCTCGTGTCAAGTTCGCCCGCGACAACTTCCGCCCCATGTACTACATCAAGCCCTACGACGCCGACCTAACCAAGCTCGAGATGTGCTTCGACTGCACCAACTACCAGGCCCAGTTCCCGCCCGAGGTTGACTTTGACAACCACGTGTTCCAGACCATCTACCTCAACAAGCAGCGCGACGGACATCTCTGGACTGACGACGAGATTGACGAGTCAAAGATCATCCGCAAGGACTGGTGGCATCAGCTATGTCACTCGTGGACTCACTACGCTTTTGTGGTGCCCTGGATGTGGCTGCTCCAAGGAAGAAGGCACACGCGGTTTGCAAGCTCGTGGACGATGATCAATGCGCATGAGGTGGCAGTCATGAGCGGGATTGCGGCCGCGGTTGATTTGGGGGCGCAGTACCCAGAGGATCTGGAAAGGGACGGGTTTGCCCTGTTGAGCTTTAGGTTGTATTACCTGCTGATATATGGACGGTGGTATAGGAGGAAGGTGAAGAAGGAGGATAGGATGGGGGAGGGACATGAGTGGGCGTCGGGGCTGTATGGGAGCGTTTACAAGGGGCCAGGTGTGATAGAGAAGGAAAGAGAGATGTGGAGGGAGGAGAGGGCCAAGGAGGAACGATCATCGTGAAACGTGATCCTTTGAAGCTACGAGCGGTGGTGTTACTGGCTGGTACGGTAACGCCTTGGCTACTCTCAGAGGTTGCATTCACGCATCCAACCCGAAGATCGGCAGCGACATTCGCTCAGATGCTGCCCGAGTCTTTAGCGACGCTGTTAACTTCAATGCCCCTTCTTCCAGGACTATAGCCTGAAGCTCAATTCTTCCTCTCCCTTCTACTTTTACAACCCGCCGGAAAAGACAAGGTCTTGGAGTACCTAGTTGGCGGCAACTGCTTAATGCCAGAACATCTATTACAGCTACTGGTCGACCTAGGCGGTCGGCTTGATATCCGAAATGGAGAAGGCCACACCCCTCTTGTGCGCTGTCTATAGATGCGACAGCCCGCCACCGAAGCTTCGAAGACCAAAGCTACGAAAACCATCGCTCATGAGAAGGCTTGGAATCAGGGCGGGTTGTTTGGGACCATCAATCGTTCACCCGCAGACGCCTCGTGCGCTCATTGAGGCGTGCTGTTGGGTGAACATTAGGATGGAAGAGAACTGAAGTACACGTGGGGGAAAGAGAAGGCTGACGCTTGATCGGATTCTGGAAATTCGGTTCCCTGGTGGAAGCCTCTTGAAGGATTCGAAAATAATGGGGCGTTGTGGAAAGATCTTGTTCGGCACCTTCCGGTACAGCTCAGAGTTGGAGTTTGATGGAAGCGTCATCGAGAAGACGGACCGTTGGAGGTTAATGGAGGGTATGGCAGTGTCAGTGATTCTCTCAAAATTATCTGTTTAATCTCAAAGTTTTTCTATACTCTCATCTTAAGTTCCAGGTTCAGTTCCGTGTAACACCCAGTCACCTTATTTGGCCTTCTGTGGGACTGTTTCCTCGCTTCAAGTTGTAAATTTAACTGCGTAACATCCTGGTGTTGTTTATTACCCGCTGAGCAAGCTGTGGAACTAGAAGTTTGGAAACTTTCTTCCTTTCTACAATCCAGTCTCCTCTGTGAAAGAGCGACCAATTGGCAGGCAGAACTGAAGAAGACTGAGGTTCCAGAATGGTAGTAGACCAAGTGGGAGATGCTTCGCTCCTCTCTCTGGTGTCGCCCCGTCCGGTGCAAGAGCGACAGAGTATGCATATCCCGGCAAGTGCGTGCGAATGATGACGGCTTGATGGGAAGTGATGACCATGAGCATGTGCCCCTGGCGATCTCTGAAGACACTCATCTTTACCCGACACTGTAATTTTTTCTGGCTGACTGATGACATGTAATCTGCTCAATCACTTTGTGGTCTTGATGTTTGTGAAAGATTCATACTGCATTGCGTCCTCCACTGCAAGCTGGACTTGTTTTGTTTTCAAGTTTGGCTCACGTCAAACCTGCGGCGTGAACAAGTCACCCCGCTTAAGATGCACATGAGCAACTTCAAGTATCACTCCTTTCCTTCTCCAACCGGAAAACTGCCAAACCAGGACTTCTTACTTAAAGATTCTCGGAGACATGACCACGATGACGGCGAGGGCGTCCGAAGTCTCCAACACCGTCAAAAGACAGCAAATGATGCTATACCCTCTTCTGTACGAAGTCAAGGCACTAAGACGACTGGTATGGGGGTCTTGGCAAGCCTTACTGCTGCCTTAAGTTTTAGGTGTGCAGCTTCAATTCTACAATAGTTGAGAGATATCTTGATACAAACAGTACAGGTACATAGAATGCCCATAACTACCTCTCTTCGTTATTGAGGTTGTTCAGGTTTTATTTCCAAAACCTTACATGACCTAGTACGTCCAAGATCCCTGATTCACCTTACTTCCTCCAAGTTTTTTTTAAGGATTGGGGCTCCCTTTTCATTCACTCTATCTTCTCTCGGGGACGGGCAAAGAGTTTCCCATCTCCCTGGTTACAATTCAACCGTTTTCATCTGGTCCTCAAGACCCGTCACTGATATCGATGTAGAGAGTACGAAGCATTCCATGCGGAAATTTTTAGAACACCTTCCCAATGGTTTGATACATCAACGGTGAATGGCACATGGTGGGTGAGAAACACTCTTGGTGCGAACGGAAGAGGCCTTCACTCCATCAAGGGTCCACTAATGTGGAAGAACTACTCAAGATTGAAGCCAAGTATTCCAGTGAAGGTAGCAGGCGAGCATGCAAGTGAAGTCAACATTGCCGCCCCTCAGTCCCGCTGCTTCTCACTTTGGAGTATAAAGTCTTCCGAATCCTGCGTTCTACTTTTTCTTTCCCCCTCTTCTCTTTCCACACTGCACCTCAACACAATTCTCAGCACCAACTGCAGCTATCTATCTGCCACCATTTGTCTTTCGCAAACATCAAAGCCCTCGTTTTATTATTATCCAACCCAAAAATCACCCTCTTAATTTCATAGCTATCGTTACATTGGCAGCAAGTATATCCACCCTTTAAACACACTTCCTAACGATCAACAACACACACATTGAGAACCAGGCACTTTATATAACAGTCAAACATCAACCAATTCGACAAACTTTCTTTCAACATGGACTCTCAGAATTTATCTTAGCTGGTAACCAAATCACTTCCTAACCTCCCAAACGAGCTTCTTTTAATAGTCGCTGACATCCTTAGCCATAATTTCTCGACACTTACGTCCTTAGCCGCTTCTTACCGTAAACTAAAGCCCTTCTTCAGCCGAATGCTATACAAATTGGATGCGAAATCCGGCAACCCAACAGCCCTAGCCTAGGGGACTTTAACAGGAAACATCAAGTGCATGAAAAGCGCAATTGAACAGGGAACAAGCGTGGGCCAAGTCTCTCGTTTCAGCTTCTACACTGGTCAACCCAAGAGTCGTTTTGAGCGGGAGTTAGATGCCCATAGCTGCAGATTGCACCCATGTGACCCGTCAACATTCACGCGCCATGCTGAGATACCTGGAAGCATAGAGAAGATCTTATAGGGTACAACCCTCCATTTCGCTACCGCTGCAAACCAAGTGGCCGCAGCTAATTTATTAATAAAGGCTAGGGCGGGCTTTCGCGAACGGTCGTTTAGGCTTTACTCAATATCCAATCATAGTAAAGCCTATACGCATTCGTTGGAATCCTATCCCAAAGAATTCTTCCCAATACACACGGCTATATATTACGGAAACAAGGACATGATCAAATTGTTCCTAAGTCGTAGCGCTTATACCTTTTACGTCGCAGATAGCCCGGAAGATGCCTCGGACGACCCAGATGACGGACTGCCCGAAGATGGCGAAGAGTTGGAATCACTCCAAGGAGTGGAGGAGGAAGAGCCTCCTGAGAACCCTGAATGGGTTCAGCCAGGCCCTGACGAACCAGATGACGATCCTGGTACTCCACACGCAACGGCGTTGCACATTGCTGCTAGTTTGGGCCGTGGCGATCTGGTGGAATTTTTCGCAGGGAAAAGCGGGATTTCAATGAATGCGACTGACTGCGACGGCCACACCCCGCTCCACTACGCCGCCCACGCTATGCTCAAGCATCCTCGGGCAGTTATTCGTAAGTTGGTGCAGATGGGCGCAAGACTAGATGCTCGATACGATATCGAGTTTGGGCTTCTTATCCGCTCCGTGGTAGGCGGTAGATGCGCCGTAGCCGTCGATCTTTTGCATCTTCGTGCGTATACACACCTCACCGCGGAGCAACTCGGCTACCTTCTTCATGCTGCACTCACTCCGGCTGCCTTCTATAGCTTTGAGAGGGGTATCTCGATCGCCAACCTCTCCAGTGCAAGCTATAGCCGGCGGTCTGTATTACTTCCCAGGAGTTACAGGGACTCCTACGATACGGTATTTCCTGATTATACCAGCGACTGCAACATGGACTTACTGGAGCGACAGGAGCTTGTGCGGCTCCTTGTCAAAGAATTTGGAGTCGATGTCAACAGGATACTACCTGGTGAGACACCCACAACACTTCTGGCTCTCTACAACGCCAGTTCATCCGACATGCTCCGCTGCCTTCTTGACCTTGGATGCTACATTTTCTTCTGACAGCCTGGCCTGGCGACAAGTTTAACGCGGTGGACAAGAACGGTAATGATATCTTACAATGCATCTTCAACTCAATTTATTGGGAAGAGCGTCACTATATCGATCTTGCCAACTTCATCAACAGATCGCCATCGGATTACTGCTACGAGGGTATTATACCGGCCAGGATACCTCAAACCGTGGGCTTCGTTGAGATGACCATGCGATTGCAGTTCGTGGAGGCCTTGTTCGGTGTTGGACGAACTGACGATGTCAACTTGGTATGGGGTGAGACCCAGGGGAAAGAGAAGATTCTAAAAATCGTGATTGCCAGATTGACGGAGATTCGCCGAAAGCTAAAGACGGGGAGCAAAGAACAGTTTTTGATGGACGAATTTCACACGTTCTCCAACTTCTCTGGCGTCTGGTAGAGGGAATGAACACCGTCTGAGAAAACGTGAAGTGGTTGAAGCAATGGGGTTTGTAGCAGACAGTTGGCTAATACTAGTCAAGTAAGGTAGAGGTAGTCAATGACGAAACATTTTTTTATGAAGGCACAGTTTCATGCCTTGTGGACTTGGAATACACATGTGTGCCTTCCTTGTGATGACTCGAAGCCATATACCAACGTGAACACTACACTGATGTTTATCCACTCCCACCAGCTGACATATCTACATTGCAAAGCACAATGAATTGGTGAAAAGTGGAGTGAGCGCGTCAAATGGCGCCGCCTGGCTGTCAGCACGGACTCCGTTCTTCAATAGATGAATGACTCCTTGTAGTTTCCATGAGTAGTCTATGGAAGATTGCTTTCTGAACTTCAGCAGACTAGAGTTTAGCATGCCATCGACAATGCGCCCGTATTCTACGGTGGTGTTTTCGAATTTGGTGCTCCTGCAAATGGGAGAAAAACCGAGAATGTCAGTGGACAAAGAAGACGGAATGCGGTTTGAAAAGTTACTTACGATAATATTTCAGATCACTGTGGCCATTTGAAGTGGAAAGCCAATGTAAAATTTGTACGGGATTTCGGACGCCCTGATGGGTATCAGATGGAAATTGAACACGCAAGCAATGGTGTTCGTTTGCCGCAGTTTGTCCTGGTTGAAGTGAAGAAGTGAAAGGAGAAAGCAACCTATCAACCAACATATGGATCCTAGCCCTTTGATGTTCACCGCGAGTGACGAGATTTTTTGCAGAAGCAGGTGAGAATTGGCAGAACGATGAGAGAGTCGACTGGCGGTTTCGTGAATCCAGAGTTATCATCAAGGGCGAATTCCTTGAAATCGGACCGTGAGAGGGAAGCTCATGCTGCATTCCCAATGGCGTGGCCAACCTCCGAGCTCCGACAGTCCCCATGATGCTGTAGAAACTCGATAGATTCGCAATCTGGGTCGACATAACGTTTGCTTCTTCGCTTACGTATTTGATGCTCCAGGCAGTCGTTTGTCGAACCTGCGAGAGTCATCTGAACCTTCTCGCCGAAGCTTGGCCAATACCCCGCTGTTTGTCGGCCGACCCTTCCTTGACCACTGCCGGTGAATGCGAGTCAACACCGTGGCCATTCACCGGACCGGCAATGGGCCGATAGCCAGCTCACCGGCAGTGGATATTGAAAGGTATTTGGCCCACGTGAGGTGGTTAAGCACCGGGCTGGAGCCATTCACTCTTCGCCAAGGAGATGGCGATTACAAGTTTACATATTGCTGGTCCTTCAGCCTCAATCTTCTTCCTCTTCCTCCCCATCTTTCACATTTGGTCTTTCATTATCGTACTTGACGAAGTGGTTGTGCCTGGAAGCGACGACCAAGTTCTGTCTTGGAGCCAGCAAGACGAATAACTTCATCGACTACATCACCATCACTCGCTGCTCTCCCCCCCACCACCCCTCTCTCACTTGGGAGGCGAGACCAACACATCGTCGTAATCACGCTTCTGTAAGTAGAGACTCTGGAAGACTAAACACTCAAAAAATAGCTTTTGAGACAAAAACTAATGAGTGTCTCTAGCAGATGCGCCAGCGTCGTCAATACACAACCCATCAACATGACTTCGTCTGCTGAGTACTTTCTCACACTCCCCCAGGAGGCGGAACCACGAACACTCCTCGACCTTCCCCCCGAAATAATGCGTATGGTTGCGGATCACCTCAAGGATTCAGAATTGAACTCTCTGGTTCGGACATGCAATGCGAACTACACCAAATGCAATTGGGAGCTGTACAAGAGGGATTCCAAATCCGTTAACCCTCAGGCCTTGCTCTGGGGTGTGTTCAATAACAGAATTCGCACCATGGAGCTCGCAATCGGCCAATACGGAGCTGACATCAATCAAGTGTTTATCTGGCCTCCCAAGTCGCGCCTTATCAGAGAAAGAATCAAAGAATACGCAGTTGCAAACGGAGTGAACGTTTCTACAAACAATACTGTGCGGATGTCTTTTCGCGGCTCCGACGACAGTGGCCTTTCGAAATGGCACTACCTGGACGGACCAACAGGTTTTGGAATGGCAAGGACGCCCTGGACAGCTCTGCACTTCGCTGCCGTGTTCAACCAAATGGAAGCCACCAAGTTTCTCCTCCAAAACGGAGCGGATGCCACAGCCGTCTGCCCTAGAGACGGCTACTTTGTCCTCGCAGATGTCAACGATCCACTCCCGCGCACCCCTCTGTTCACAGCGCTCAAGACGAAAAGTGAGGGAGTTGCTGAAGTTCTGTTGCGCCATGGTGTCTCACCTCTGTGGGCTCCTCCAGGTACCGGTGGACACGCGAAGGAAACAGCCTTGTACTTGGCAGCTCACCTCGGTATGTGGAAACTCCTGGGGCTCATTGTCAACGCGGGGGTGGATGTCAACGCGGGTTGTCATGTTGATGATGTACCCAGATGGTCAACGGACCCTGCTGGAAAGTCCATCCTCAGAAAGCTGTGTTACAGCAAGCGAAAGCCCTCAGAAAAGGTGATTTCCGAGCTCGTCAAGTTGGGCGCGAAAGCAACTGTACGAGAAATTCCAGGACGGACGAACATGGTCCACCTCCTCCTTCAACTCATCACAGGTACCGGACAAGGTAAAAAGACCAACCCTGATTGGCCCCTCGCAAGCATTCTGCTAAGAACAGGAGCATGTGACGGAACATTGAAGGAAGTCGAGGTTCTAGCAGCTATCCAGCTAGCCTTGTTTCCGAGGAACTGTCCATACACCCCGCACCTCACCAGGCACACTCTCTCCAATCTCATGTGGTACAACAGAAAATCCCGTGCATACTCGATCGAGGCATGCCTGGTCGGAAGATGCTGCAAATGCAAGCTTGGTAAAGGCCGGTACCCCGAGAACGAGCCGATGACCGGGAGAAGATTGCGGACCGAGCTTCTCCAAGAACTCGTGAATTTCCAAGTCCGTCATTACGGTCGGGAGGGGCTTGACTCCCATTTACCCTTTCTCACTGAGACCTTGCTAACCTTGTTAGCGCGCCACCGGCATGCGAGCACGACCGCCTTGGATATCTGGCTTGAGTTAATGCCGGACGACCACAAGACCAAAGTCGTCAATGTTCGACGCCAGACTGCTCTGCACATTGTTCTGAATATCGAAACTTTCGAAGAAAAGTTATGGTACGTTGGCGGCAAGCCTACAAGGAATATCAACAGAGCCTTCGATCAACAACACGATGCCCTCTTTTACCTCCTGGAGCGGTGTACATCAGATGAGCTGCTGGCCCAAGATGTTGAGAAGTGCACTCCTTTACAGCTACTTTTGGGCGGACTCTACTGGGATCAAGATTCAGAGTACTATGCGGGCCTTGTTGACCTAGACACAATACCCCTTGAGCCCTTTTCCGAGGAAGTGTGGGCAAGGAAGTGTCTGGCATTTGTCGAGAAGATGCTAATGGTGATTCCTGAGCTATCAGACTCTGTTTATCAGCAAGTTGTTGAGGAGCTTCACTGGCGTCGCTGGGAACTTGGCTGCGAATCCGGCGTCATATATCTTGGCAGAACCGGGGGCCGGGGAAGAGAGCCACACTACTTTCCGAGTTTCAAACCTCAAGATGGGGAGATGAAACGTCCACTCACTCAGAATCCTCCCCTATTGCCTATGCCATTTGAAGCTGCACCAGCAGCAGAGCCGACCTCAGCAGAGTCTACGCAGCCAGCAGAGCTGCCGATCCGACCAGCAAAGCACGCTCTACCAGACGGGCCCGCGGCTCCAGAAAAGCGACAACGGACAACGGAGTCCCAGGAAACGGCAGAGAATACCGCCAACAATTACTCTGTTGCAGGACAGCCAAATGTGCCGCCGTCAACACCGGTTTCTGGGTTCGATATCGACTTCGAAGCGTTGATGGCAAACGTCCAAGAGGAGTATAACAATGCCTGGTCAACATAAGCGGGTGAGGGCAAAGACAGAACGATGTCTGAACTTTCTATTGTATCAAGTGCTGTTATTGAGTCGGGTGTCATTTAATGTGGAGGTATTGAAGAAAGACCGAGCCATCCGATGCTAAGGAATGATTCCTATTATGGACATCGCAGGCTGTTCACCAACCAAGACATCTTTGGGAGTCATGTTCAGAGAAGACATGCCGGTCACTGCTAGAGCGTCAACAATGTGGTCACTCTGCCACTTCAAGAAAGTCCTTGACTCGTCGCCCGTCCATCGGGCTTTCCATCACCTGCACTCCCTTCCATTACTTCCAGACTAGGTGCTCTGGTTTCTATTCTTCCTCCTCCATTGTCATCACAAAACCAATCCCACGGCATCTTCTGTCGTTGTCTTTCTGCAGTCACCTCCGCCAAGTGACCAGCCATAAGCTAGATTATTGAAGTAGTCTTTTGACCTTCGCTTTCTTCTTGAGGCTGCGATAATTTTGGAGTCAAGAAGTATGACTTCGTTGCCCGCCGTTGCCGACCGAGTCCCCAGGGAGGAGCTTACTTGCCGATCGCTGTCGGAGGCTACTATGGCAGTGGCGAATGTTCGTTGAGCTCGACTACCCAAGCCATGATGTTAAAGGCCCGAGAGAATTTTCTTACTTTCCAGGCATCTGGGGAGTCGTTTATTATTGACGAGAGATTGATTCGGAGTTGAATCACTCGTTGCACGGGGATTCAATCTGTCTCCTATCTTCGTACCATCCAGTTACCTGGCAAGCTTTGCTTCTTTCCGTATCTAAAAAAAGGCTACAATGACAGGAGTCGTGAAGGTGAAGGACATCTTGGGCAAAAAATGTATCATACGTCTGCGGATCTGGTGTAGAATTAGTTAGATAGCCACTCATAGGCATTTAGATCTAGTGTATGTAGTAAAAACTGGAACACAACAAGCCTCGACGAACTTGATATTTTGAAGTGCTTGGATACCTATTGTGTGGGTTGAGACCGATGACGACCCGTGTCAAACCCTTTGATGTCCAAGACAAAATCGCAGATGTACAGACTTCTAGTATAGCTAGCTGGTAGAATATTTACCCAATCCATAGTTTTCGAACGGGGAAAGCAAGAAAGTCGGCAATTGCATCATGGCCCCGAACATTTCCAGTGAATTGCTGTTTTCAGAAGCTGGTGAGGTATCCAAAAAGAAAAGAAAAAAAAGAAAGGAGAAAAAGAACAAAGCAAAATAAAGGAAAAAAGAAAAGGAAAGAAAAGAAAGGTTCAGATGGAGGGCTCAAGCAGATGCAGACAGCCGAAACAAACTCCACATCATCTGAGGTTACTCCCGGCATATCACCAGAGTGGGATCCCCTTGTTCCGATACCAACATGACTAATTCGACACAATCAAAGCCCTCGTAACATGTAATTCTCCGGTACACCGTACGGTAGCACAATCGGCAGTCAGGTAATGTGATATGTACCACGGATACACGAACTTCCGACTTTGGCAATAATACACCACCGATCAATCACCTAACAGAGGTTAGGTTGATGTGGGCCTCGCTCATATAACAAGCCAACCGACTCTCCTCGTCATTCTGAGAAAGAGGATAGTTGCTTGGCTGCTGTACGTACGTTCGTGTAAGCGAGCTATCAAGGGGAGGCCCCACATGTAGGTACCCTTGGCTGTGGCCAGCGCACCGAACCGGCGAGTATCACCGTAGCACGAATATTACAAAGATGGCGGTATGATAGCTGAGGGGTCCGACTTTCTGTAGTAAAAGCAGTCCATATAGAACATCGCTCGACCACGAGACTAGAAGTCAAACATCGTTAGCACCCTTGATAATTTCTCCTCTTCAGCAACACGATGGCTACCCTCCGACAACTGCACCTACCTCTCCGCCTTCTCTCCAAGTCTCTCCTAACAGCTTCCACCCGGCGCCTCATCTCAACCCAACAATCCCCCAAGCCCAAAACCCCCATTAAATCCGCCATCATCACCGGCGCCGCCCGCGGCATCGGCCGCGCCATCGCCCACCGCCTGGCCGCCGACGGCTACGCCCTCACCCTTAACGACCTTCCCTCCTCCTCTTCCTCTTCCTCTTCCTCTTCCGCTTCCTCCTCATCCGACCCCGATGACGCGCTAAAATCCCTCTGCCACACCCTCCACTCCCTCGGCTACCCCAACATTCACCCCTTCCCCGCCGACATCACCTCGCCCGACTCCGTTTCCGCCCTCATCTCTTCCCATGTTTCGGTTCACGGCTCTCTTTCAACAATGGTGGCCAACGCCGGCATCGTCGGCGCCCAACCCCTTCTCACCGTTACCCCGCAGGACCTTCTCCGCATGTTCAACATCAACGTCATTGGCGTCTTCAACTGCTACCGCGCCGCTGCCGAGCAAATGATCAAACAAGGCACCTCGGGGAAATTGATTGGCGCGTCCAGCGTGGCTGGGCTGAGGGGTCTGCCGATGTTGGGACCGTATGTGGCGAGCAAGTTTGCGGTTAGAGGATTGACACAGACATTTGCGGCGGAGTTGGCGGCGGAGGGGATCACGGCTAATGCGTATGCACCGGGGGTGGTGGACACGACCATGTGGGATACGATTGCGGAGGGGGTGATAAAGGCGGGAGGGGGGAACGCGGAGGAGGAAGGAGCGAAGGCCCAGGTGAGCAAGCGCTTTGTGGACACACTGGTGCCGTTGATGAGGTCGTGTACGCCGGAGGAAGTGGCGGGTTTGGTTGGGTTTTTGGCGAGTGAAGGGGCGGATTATATTACCGGCCAGACGTTTGCTGTTGACGGAGGGATATGTTTGACTTAAGAGAGAAGCGCAGCTGCCCTGCACTGGGGAGAAGGCGAATTGCGGGTATATACCCCTAACCCTTATCTATGGTACTTGTTTAGCCTTATCACTTACACCCATTGTCACTTTTCCAATTTCGGATTTTGGCCGTATGTGTGGGGTCCTTCGGCCCGCGGACCGGTGTGTGCTTCCAGCTCCCATGCTTAAGCGGAATACACCATTAGAAGATACCTCTACAGATTATTTTGTCAAACTCGGTTACATTCGATTACTTCAAGTGTATTCATGGTAATGTTACCTGCGCCAGCTATACAGCACAACGATCATATCACAAGAAAACGAGACATCATGTTTGTGTTGTATCCAATTCGCTTTATTCATTGATGTATAGATCTTGCAATATCCTCCATCTCCAGTCAACGACACCAAGAGTGGTAGGCATACCACGTCGGTTCACCTACTCCAGAGCCAGGGGTTAAGCGGGAAAAGCCAAAGCCATGGCCGCCGCCCCTGTTGTTTCCGGAGTGGCTACCGGTCGTCAGTACCACCGCCCGTACACTGTGAAATCTTCCTTCTCAACTAACTAAGCATCTGGTAGCTCCAATTCAACAATCCACGGCACCTGCTCCCTCGCGTCTGGGTCTTCATCCTCGGGGCCCATCTCCAGAGCTGCATTGACAAACAATGTCTGCTGTCCTGCTACCAACGGGTGCTTGTCGTCCTTGCAGTGACTCGTGCTTCTAAACCCGTCCTTGAAAAGTCGTTCTTTCCTCTTCTTCCTGTCCTTAGCATCTTGTTCTGAATCGAATTTTCTGGGCTTGTAATCGGCGAGGCTATCGATGAGTATTGAAGCGCCGTTATCGATCTCGGTGAAGTGAGAAGGTGTGGTGGTCGTTGGTTCTGTTCCGCGCCAAGTCACGAGCTTGGCCCCCCAACCTTCGTGGATGTGGCCGAAGCAATGGAGGCGAGGGCGAGCCTTTGCGATGGCGCCGAACAGCTGATCACAGCCGCCCCGCTGGTTGGAGGAGGTTCTGTCAAGTACGCCCTTTGGTGGCCCGTGTGTGATGGCAATGTCGACCCTTTTGTTATCTGACGGCGAAATTGAGAAGTCGTGCTCGTCGTTGTGTTTGAATTGAAAGCCCTGGTGTGCGTCGCGAGATGGCGTAAATGGACTTGCGTACACTGTCAAGGCCGCCCCGTTTTGTAGGCGGAAGGAGTGGATGCCCTCGTCCAAGAAGGTGATACTTTCGTCCTCTGAATTTGAACACAGCTCGCGGGCCTGGCCAAAGTCGCCGTATTCTTTCTTTATGAGTTCGGGCTCGATATGGCATTTGGTAGTGGCTTCTGCGGTTAAGTTTCCGAAGGCTGTTTCATCGAGGGAGAAGTCATGGTTGCCTGCAATGACGAGCTTCAATGGGGCATCAATGGACTTGAGAAGCTCAAGGGAGGAGCGAAATTCGTCCAGTTTTGACTCGTCGGTAAGATCGCCGCAGTGGATAGCAACATCGACCGGTACCTTGGGCATAATATGATCCTTTCCATGGGTGTCGGAAAGGATGAGGAAGGACGTCTTGGTTGTCTTTGTGAAACCCATTTTGAACGACTGTTGATGCACAAAAAGAGGTACGATCGGACTCAATGTTGTTGTGCGTGGAATACGGGAAAGAAGAAACGGGTAGCAAATGTGGGATGTGTGGTTTCTTATATAGTTTCACTTGGCACCATGTAAAGTATAGGTATCTGTGAGCTGCAAAGCATGCTTGGGCCCAAACAAAAACGATCTCGCTCATTCGAGTCATTTGCAAATTCTGCGTGCACATGTGAACTGCAGCAAATATGCATCATACGTATACCTACCTCTAGAGGAGATAGCCATTTCAGATCGGATATAAAGCAGTATTCAGGATTTCCGGGTCCCGAACCAAAGACTCGGGCAGTCAATTCCTACTTGTGTGTAGGTATGTTTACGAGAACTGCGTTCGCAATTCACAGTGCACTGCACAATGTGCTGCGTTCTCCATGTGCTTTCAAGAATGCATCTTGCACGTCATCAACGGTGCTACGTCTGATATAATATATATTTACCAGAATTTGTTCCCGTGATAGAAGTTGGTTACGTTAGGATGAGAACGGATGCTTAGAGACCTATACACATCGTTGATCCTCTGGGCTCATATCAGGGGGCCAATTTATCATACCTAGAGGTATGGAAGGAGTATGATGAAATACGCGCACACTCGGTGGGAATTTCTTTCCCATTAATATATGAAATTTGGACGAAAAAGTAAGAGAGTATTAAGTTGGATTTGGCATATACCAACAGAAACTGGCGTACCTTCCGTCTCAGTAAGTAGTGAAGGTGACGCAAAGAAGGAAGCGAGCAAGAAGTAATTCAGCTATCTAGATATAAATGATGAGTGTCACCCCCGATCTGTTTTATCCTGTTTTCTCTCTTTTTTTCTTCTTTCTTCTTTCCTCAATGAGTCGAATTGATCTGTGTGGTGAGCATAAGTTCAACTAGCTCAAGGTACATGACTGTGACGCTAACACCAATGATCCCAGATGAGCCGAAGTACCATTAGCAATCATTGATTTTTCTCCTGGTAAGCTCTGCTCAAGGCGCATTGTATCATCTGCTCAGGTACTGATGTTTACCTACTTGTCAAAGCGCCATAAAATAAACAAAGGGTCTATAAACCGCATCGACGACCTTTCCCAGCCAGACAAGTTCCTCATCGTTAAGTAAGACCCTTATAACACGAGTATCAAACTACTTATTACGTATGTTGCGGCTAACACTTGAGAACTTTCAGTTTCAGCAGGCCTTTCAATGCGCGGAGCACTCCTGGAGTGCTTCCGCGTCGCCACCCGCCCAGTCCGTCCAGAGCTGCGCCGCCAACTTGTCCTGGTTGGCGGTGCCGCGAGCATTGCCCACTCTTCGGTCTAGAAGACTGAGGACGTGGATGTTGCCGCCCCTTCCGCCGTATTAATCGACATCTGGAAGGGAGTTTCGGACGGCGCTCTCAACTTCTCCATCGAAGCCGACGGCAAGATAGCGTTCGATGCCCCGCAAGGCTTCCGTGTCCGACTTAACATCATCGAAATCGGAAGCGGGTGCATCGATCGCATCCACGTGACGGAACCTTTTCACGAAGGTTCCGTTCCGTCCATGTCGGATTTGTTGTTGATAAGGGCCGTGACGGTGGTTGATCGGGGAGGAGATGGCGACAGGCCGGACTTCCAGTGGTTGCTGGAAGGGGTGTTTCAAAAGCTCGAACAATTCCCCAGAATTGATGATGAGGAGCTTCACTGGCTGGCAAAGGCCGCAGAAGCGGTGTATGGGCCCATCGGCTATCTTGGGATAGCTTCTTGCATTGCTACTACCAACGAGGCTGCCGCGTTGGCGCTTCTTCATAAAGGCAAGAAATCATCTCAAGTACATGTAGCCAAACGGCAATCTTGATAGACTTCAGTTATTTCCGGAAAATAACTTGCCACGCGTCGTCTCCCACACTGTCGCATCTGCGGCCCAGCCACGTGGGACGGGAAATTACTGCGTATCAGAGCATGGCGATGTCCTGGCTTTGTGGGCGGATAAATTGTGCACCCCGGTGGCCGGCTGTCATACCATTATGAATCTCTCGTCTGCTGGTCCTCGGAACTTGGGAATGAAGGGGAGGCACAACGGAGAGAGAGGAGTGCCCACGAAGGGTACTAGGGCCGTGATCTCAACTCCAGCAGGCCATACCAGAATGGACAGGGGGTAGAGAGCACTAGAGGGTGAATAGTGCAAATTGACAGATTGCCAATGGAATATAATTTATAAGCTTCCGAGGGCGGCAGTTATGATGCGGCCTTGGGGGAGGCTGGTGGTGAGATTGAAATGTTCACAACGATGACATGAAGTGGAGGGATTCCACTTGGGGTTGGGTGGGCGGCTTGGTTGGAGCCTTTTATCAAGCCCCTTTCATAAGATAGGTAATTGAAGTAACCTAACCGCACCACAGCCCTCAAGAAAAAAACGACCGAAAATCCAAGGACAATTTCCTGGTTCGGGAGGTCTGTGTGTCGTCGGGCGGATCGGGGGGGTTGACTTGTAAGCCTCCTTCCCGGTCGGGTTCGCTAGGTTCCAGGCAGGCACCTCCCTAGCTGGGCGGGCGGGAGCGGGGCCCCTTCCTCTAGAGGTAAGGCGGGAACGGCCTAGTTGTTACCCCGCGGGGCCCCGAACCCCTGTGGATACCCAGCCCCTGAAACCCTGGCGGGCATAATGGAGAGAATGGATTCCGTTTTCTCGAACGGGCACTGACCTCCTGACCCATTCATCCTCCTCCTCACTGCATTAGGTTGCGTCCAGTTCCCGCCTCGTCTTCCGCTGATCAAGTTGTCGTCCGAATCTAATGATCTTCCTGCTGGTCAATAGCATCAACTTTGCTCCAACGACAGGACTGGAGTGATCTGTCATTCTGCTTCTCTGTTTTATCAGACACCACATGCCAAAAGCCACTAGATCCGACCATCGACCTCGATACGTCACACGAGTGAAGAGGCCGAACTCCCGAACCGATCAAGCCAATAACGCATGGAGCTATCGCCGTTACTTTTGCTTCTGATACCAAACTACGCCCATGGCAACGATGGCATACTTGATGGCAGCGCCAGACACGAAAGGACTCGCTTGAAAGCAACCCTGATAACCACCTCCCCCCCCCCCAATAGAAGCCCATGGTGCCCTCGATTTCGGCCAACCCTCTCTAGATGAAAGCATCCCCAAATTCCAATCCAGAAGCCAAGAACTTAATCGACCTGATAAGAGTTGCATTGCCTCGCAGTTAGTGCGCCAACGATAATGGTCCCTTTTCCCTTCCCCTTCCCGTCTGCTCTGCTTGTTAGTGGTCTCCATCTCGCCACGTTCGCACTCAGTCAAACAACAACTGATCACTGGATACCTTACCGAACAGCACGGGCTGGCAGATATTGACACCAGCCGCCAAAGTGCATATAGCCGACTGCAACAAATCATTGTTGACCAAGTAATCAAGCGAGCTGATTGACGTTTTTACCAGCGCGGACATCTCCCATATTCACTTCTCTCTAAGCAAGCGACGTCCTAGCGAGTGGCATCCAGAATCCCGTCTCTAACCTCGTGGATCTGTCCAAAAATCATACCTCAGTATCATCGGCCTAAACCAGCGTCGATTGCTCGTCTAATCTGCGCTTTCGCCTGCTTTTGGCCTGCTTCAGGGTCTTGTTCTGTGTCGGTCCAATTCCAGAAGCTCGGCCCTCCCCTTCCTTCCGGGAAAGGCATGAGGATTTAATCTATTTTGGAGATTATTGCCATGTCTTCCGGTCACATCGCCACATCATGGCTGCAGGAGCCGGAGGATATATGCCAGGGCCACGTCTTGGCGAATCAAGGCCATGGACTGTCATGGCTAAAGCGAACCACATTGGTGACAGTGCTACATACACCATTCAGTCGGCGCCCACGACTATTCCCATCATAGATCTCGTCTCTGCTCGCCTCCCCTTATTAGAGCCTTCCGCACCGCCCAGGATGGAAATTTCACGTCGTCCCACTTCGCCATCTTTAGTTCTGGTTCCGGATTCCGAAATCTACTTCAATGAGGGCCACCATCGCCAGTCTCGTTTCGAACGCCCTGCTGCTTATCCAGCAAGCGGCTGCTGCGCCTACAGACACTGATACCTGGAATGAGACTACCGTCGATATCTCTGGAGATTCCTCCGCAGACAGCTTCAGTGTCGCGTCCATCTACGACTGGACCTACAGGAGGTGGAATGGAGCCAATTATGCATGCAAATGCTATCCTGGTGACCCATGCTGGCCCAGCACTCTCCAGTGGAACTTGTTGAACGCAACTGTTGGAGGCAACTTGCAAATCAGCATTCCTCCGGCTGCGTCTTGCTACAACACCTTCCAAGGCCTTCTCGGCAACATCAGCACCTACAATGCGGCTCAATGCGCCGATGTTCACGCGAACTATGCCAGCGAGCAGTGGCAGTAAGTATACTCCTATTCATAGGGCGACAGAGTTGTGAATTGACAAACACCAGGATCGACCTTCCCACTGCTGGCCTGTGGACCTACTTCACCAACGACACGTGCCGGCCTACCACCAACCCTACTGATTCTTGCACTGGCGGCTACTTCCCTACGATCTATATCAAAGCTACGACCATCGCCCATATACAGGCTGGTATTCTCTTCGCCAAGAACAACAACCTGCGCTTGATCATACGCAACACTGGCCATGACTTCCTTGGCAGATCAGTCGGCTGGGGTGCCCTCGTCATCAACACTCACAGCTTTAAGGATATCAGCCTTACCAGCAGCTACAGGGGTGCCTGTAACTACACTGGCTCTGCCATCACTGTCGGCGCCGGTGTTCAGGCTTTTGAGGCTCTCAGCAAGCTTCACTCTCTCAATCCCCCCAAAATCATGGTTACCGGAGAGTGCGCTGTAAGTTGGAGCCCAGTATATGCCTTACGTACCAGTACAAACACTAAACTAACGTGGACATTGTAGACTGTCGGTGTTGCTGGTGGTCTCGTCCAAGGTGGTGGACATGGCCCCCTGACCAACTTTTACGGCTTCCTTGCCGATACCGCTCTCGAGTTCCAGGTCATTACTGCTGACGGTGTTCTACGAACTGCCAACGCCAAGACCAACCCCGACCTCTTCTGGGCTCTTAGGGGCGGTGGCCCTTCTGCGTTCGGTGTCGTCGTTCAGGCCACCTATAAGACCTTTGACGATTACTCCAGCTCCGGCACTACCTTCGCCCTCGGCCCTGCCAACGTCAACAACAACGACACCCTCTGGTGGGATGCCATCGCCAAATTCCACAGCTACTCCAACCACTTCGTCGACAATGGCCTGTACATCTACTACGAGTTATACCCTGGCCTAAGCTTCCGCGTCCAGCCCGTCGTCGGTGTTAACAAAACTGCCGCCCAGCTCGAGGCCGTCCTCCAGCCTCTTTTCAACGACTGGACCGCCATGGGGCTCACCTTCGACAAGACCACCACGACCTACAGCACCTTCTACGAGCTTTACAACGCCCTGTTTGAGTCCGAGGTTGCCGGTGACTCTGCCCTGACCGGCGGCTGGGCCTTCAGCAAGACCGATGTCGCCAAAAACAACGCCGGCATCATCGACGCCTTCAAGAATGTTCTCAACAACGGCGCCTTACTCGTCGGCCACATGTGGAACGGCGGCCACGGTCTCCCCCAGAGTCAGTGGGCCGACAGCGCCATCAACCTCCGCTTCAGGAACGTCAGCGACAAACTCATCACCATCCTTCCCCTCTCCGGCAACGCACCCCTTGCGGAGAAGGAGGCCGCTCAGCGTGTTCTGACTGACGTTGTCGATGGCGGTCTCAGGGCTGCTGGTCCCAACGGTGCTGCCTACATCAACGAGGCTGATCCCTTTCAGCCTAACTGGCAGACTGCCTTCTGGGGCACTAATTACCCTAAGCTTCTCCAACTCAGACAGAAGTGGGATCCTACCGGTGTGTTCTACTCTGTTTCCACCCCCGGTACGGAGAAGTGGGAGCAGATTGAATATGGCACCAGGCTTTGCAAGAAGCTTTGAAGCAGGTTCTTGTTGATATTGTCTGTTCTTAGTCTTGGTTTACAGATACCATCTTTGTTTAGCGTCCATCGTTGTTCTTTTGTTGGAGAGCTCATATCTTCATTTCGCTTGGGTGGCGGCGAGCCTTTGGTAACAAGGTAGATACTTTGACTACATCTTTTAGACAAGACTCTATGCGTATAATTCTAATCATTAGTTCTAATTCAGGCGCGCCACCTGGGTTGTAGGAAAGGATCTCCAGGATGGTCCAGTAATTGTAAAATTTTTCAACGTGGGATATAATTTTGCATTGAAACTGATCCATGGAATAGTTCCTAACTGAAATATTAATGCCTAAGGACATTCTTGTTTAGCAAAACAACCTTCTTGATGATCATTTCCTAATATATATTTTTCCATATCCATATTTTAATCGAGGGATTCTTTTCAAGACCATTTTTAAGGGAGGCGATTCTACCCAAATAACATGTTCTGGTCTTAGATGTTTAGGACTATCCTGGAGATGGTCAATTGTCTTGAAGTGTACCTACCTATTTTACAGTTGCGAGAACATCCCGAGCATCATTTTCTTCAAGCCCTGGCAGCGCGCTATATTTTGAGCATTGCTTTGTTATCTGCCTATCTTCGGTAAGTAGCGGCGTAGGTTTTTAAGGGGAGCTCCGGCACTCTGTTGTTGCATAAGCACATCATCTTTACAGCGATTGCGCCATTCATTTTCTCATTTTTTGGTCCTTGAACTATAACCAACAAGAATGGAAGCTATCAAATGTCGGCGGGGTCATATCGACAATTTTGAATTGCGTTCAGTCTCTCGAAGGCTTCCTCATGCATTTCCAGTCTTACACTTGGCGAAGTGATAGGGGATCTGCGCAATATGAGTTGGGTAGTATGCACCTAGGCCGTTTGCGTGCTAAGAGAGACAATCCGCGCAATGGTTGACGCCGCGACATCGGATCTGCAATGAATATATTTTGTACGGCTGGTACCCCCCCTGATGTCTCTGCTTCATTCTCTGAGGTCATTCTGTGTATACATTGACTTGAAGCACTCTGCATACCATTTCTATATTGTGTCTTGGAAAATCAGCCTCTACAGAGAAAGATGAAGTACCAAACCATCCAGGACCGTCAGGTCGTCAAACCCGACCGCCATCTCCTCAACACCACCATTTCACCTGGTGTAGTTCATGACCCCGAGCATGACGCCGCCGCCGCTACCGTCACTAACGAGTATCAACCCCTCCTCACGCCTCTAGCCAGCTCCAGCTCTAATTCTTCGGCGTCTCTACCCCCTGGCCACCTCTCCTCGGACGACAATGCCTGGACCCCTCCCCCTCGCTTCGTCTTCATCCAAATTGCCCTCATGTCCAATGTCTTCCTCTACGGCTTCGATGGCACCATCACCGCCGCCGTCTACTCCATCATCTCCTCCGAATTCGGCGCCGCCAACACCGCTTCGTGGCTGACCACAGCCTACCTGGTCACCAGCACCGCGTTCCAGCCGCTCTACGGGCGCGTGTCCGACATCTTTGGGCGCCGCGTCTGTTTCTTTATCAGTACTATAACTTTTGCGCTGGGCTGTTTGTGGTGCGGGCTCGTCAAATCTTCTATCAAGAAGGGCATGATCTGGGTCATCGTCGCCCGCGCCCTCACTGGCTTCGGCGGCGGCGGGCTAATGACCATGGCCACCGTCGTCAACTCGGATATGATTCCCTTTCGCCGGCGGGGGATGTACCAAGCGCTTCAGAACGGCATGTTTGGGTTCGGCGCCATATGCGGCGCGAGCTTTGGGGGCAGCGTGGCGGATGGGATTGGTTGGCGTTGGTGTTTTTTGTTGCAGGTGCCCGTGTCGGCGTTTGCGCTGGCGGCTGGGTGGATGGTCATCAAGGATCCCGTAAATGGGGTCCTGGGAGAAGGGGAGCAGAGGACTTGGGGACTCATTTGGAGGAAGGTGGACTTTACTGGGGCTTTCTTGTTGGTCACGGCCATTTCGATCCAGCTTGTCGGATTGAGCCTGGGTGGCAATATGTTGCCTTGGAGTAGCCCGTGGGTTGTTGCGTCGTTGGTGAGCAGCACAGCGATGTTGGTTTTGTTCTTGGTGGTGGAGGCGAGGACGACGGCGATTCCGGTTATTCCGTTGAGGTTGTTGAAGGGAAGTTTGCCGCTGCTAATGCAGTTTGCGAATGTGTGCGCTGGGTTGAGTGCTTATGCGGTGAGTTGTTCCTTCTTCAAGTTGCTTTTGCTTTGGGTTGCTCCTGCTCAAAGTTCGATTGTTCTGGTTCAAGTTGCTCTCGCTTTGTATCGCTCCCTCTTGGCGTTGCTCCTGCCTGGAGAGTTTCATACTCTTGATGACCAACTTGGCTTGCAGTGGTCTTGCTTCGAGTACAGTTACCTACTTCTGCTTCGAGTCGTTCCTCCATGTCCCTTCTTCCCGCCATCGTTGATCGGCTGACTGACAAGTCCGTTCCTTTAGTACCTTTTCAATCTTCCTCTGTTCTTCCAAGTCGTCCTCCTCGACTCCGCCACCACCGCCGGTGCCCGGCTCGCTATCCCATCGCTGGCCACGCCCATTGGTGGCCTCATTGCCGGCATTGTCATGTCTCGCTGGGGAAAGCTTATCCCTCTTGTCCGCACTGGAACCTTCTTGATGGTCTTGGGCAACGCCTTGGTTATCTCTCTTGCCTTCGAGGACTCTGGCTGGAAATATCTTGTTTACATTTTCCCCGCCAACCTCGGCCAGGGAATTGTGTACCCGGGCATCTTGTTTACCTCGCTGGCCACGTTCGATCATGCCGGTACGTTCATCCTTCGGCTTCGTCTTCAGTCACTTACCTACGATTGATGTCGCCATCGACTAATCTAGACGATACACATAAACAGACCACGCCGTCACTGCCTCGACCGTTTACCTCATTCGGTCTCTCGGCACCGTCTATGGCGTCGCCATCACCTCTGCCATTGTGCAAACCACGCTCAGCGTCCGGCTTCCCGGCGCTTTGGGCGAGATACCAGATAAATGGAGAGTAACATCCCTTTTACTTTGCAGCTGTTTTTCCCGCTCCTGTTTTCCTGAGCGCTGTTGTGGTCCCGGGCCTCCCCTCTCTCAGGACCAGGGCCCTACCCTTGGCAGGTGCCCTGGTCCACAGCAGCTTAGGGGTTTCTTCATTGCGTTGTGCTCATGTTCTGTCTTGTTGCGGTTGTCTTGAGGTTGTTTTCGTTAAAGCTCACACAAGTCTACCTAGGTCGTTGATGAAATCCGCCACTCAGTCTCGGTTATCAAGAACCTTCCCCCAGATATTCAGCTCAAGGCTCGCGAGGTCTACTACGAAGGACTGCGGCTTTCGTTTGCCACGTCGACGGCTGTGGCTGCTGCAGCTGTCAGCGCGGCGCTGCTTGTGAGGGCACGGGGACTTCGTAGTACCACGTAGCGCACTACGGAGTCGCACTTCGGAAGAAAGACAAGATAAAAACAAATGCCTAGTCGTCTGTTGGGCGAGGTGAAGTAGTCTTGTCTTCCTTCGTCTTGACCATGGGGAATGCTTGAGCTACAATGGGTAGGTTTGGTGCTATTGAATTGGTGGTGGCGGGCAACGAACTGGGGACGAGAGGTAGAAGAGGCAAGGAGGTTTGGACGGGAGAGCGCGGCACTGGAAGTTGTGTTGTTGCCGCCGTCGGGTTAAGCTTAGTATGTACACTAAGGGTAGGGATAGGGGTTCTTGGATATCGCTGGGAAGTCCCGGCAATAACCGGCAGTAGTAAGGCCCACCGGGGTATCATTCACAAAATTGGCGTGCAGTTGATGTCGGCGATTTCCAAAAGTGCGAGTTGAAGTCCGTCCCGGGAAGTCCGCAACGGGCAAGGTTGATTATGAGGAAAAGAAGGTGAAAACCCCGAGATCCAGGGTCTACCGTATGTGTAGTTGTCTCATGATGTGGCATTGAACAATGGAACCATGGTGCAAGAATAGCTTCTCGTGATGATTTTTGCAGGTCAAACTCTCTTAGGAACACCTCAAGCACGCTTCTGAAAAACCGTCACTTGGCGATGTCTTTCATCACATCCCCAAACCAATGCTCATGGAGTGTTTTTTTCTAATCCTCTGTCTTGCAACATGGCTTACGACATTACTTTGTTGTCTTCTCGTCGCAACCTGGAGACCATGGCCTATTAGGATGATCATATCTGCTCGATGTACCAGAAAAGGGGACTCGCGTCCTGAGGCCATCATCCACCCTGAACCCGAGCTCCCGCCGAAGTCGCTCGGCTCGCTAGCATATTCCTTTCTCGGTAAAGTGCTGCCCAGTATCACTTTCATAAATTTCTCCCCTTATCCACCCATATGGTACGTGGTACGCTCCCCTTTCCCTCCCCAGCTTTTCGCGTCCAAGCTCAACCCAAATTCATCTCGGAGAGTTCATGATTGGGCAGCAAAATCGTTTTCCAAACGTTGTCGGAGACAATATATCGATAGTGAGACGATGATTCGACTTGGGCAATACGGTCACACAAGCCACCAGACAGATTTGAATGTGCTTGCCATATCCTCAAACAGCCTGTCTTGCCTCGGCTATTCGTTGTCCAAGATTGAATGAAGAATTTTCTTAGGCTTCAAGCCTCAAGTTCATGACTCATTTCACCTAAGTAATAAGACAAACTAAGTAACACCAGTTGTTGGTCCGTCCAACAACGGGGGTCGACCAGAACGAGCAGGGACAGTGACATCTCGAGTGGGCTCGTGAAGGATTGTGGATATTCGTACCTCTACGTAGAGGTATTTTGGCCCCTTTGAAAAACTAATCACAGCCTGTCGCTGCGCATAGCCACTCGAATAGTTGTGAAGCTTTCTTCCTCGTCAAATCTTTTCCATTCTGAGAGAGCCAGAAATGCGTGGCCTGTGAGATGGAAATGTGTATGTCTGGACCCTCATTGATGTTCACTTTTTCTCCTGAACCATCACCGACTATCATGGACTGTCATGGATATCATGAACTTCCGGTCACCAATCAGCTTAGAGACATGAAGCCACGACACTTGCCACTCACAGTCCTTCGAGTTGGCATAAGCTTGCATGCCACGCTATTTTGGACGGTGTGTATACCACCAACGAAGAGTCTGACACGAAACAAGAAAAACTTCTGGGACTGCGTGGCCCCCGAAACTTTCGGCGCACCTGCATGACCAGTGAAACTGACCAGGTTCTTAAATTCCCTTGCTCCCAACCTCCGTCTGGCCACGCAGCAATCCCATCACACCGTTTCTCTCGGCTGAGCGGGACACTAAACTTGAGACCTGTGAGACACGCACAGCACACACTGTACGTTCCGTATCGTCTCATGACTTAGTATATAAATTTAATTAGTAAGCAACATCGTTGGTTGATGAAGCAAGAGTGGCGAGTCAATGACTGCAGACTGGATGAACTGGAGACGGGATTTACTGACAGCGATTGCAACGCTCTGGCTCGCGGCGTAGCGGGCACGGGTGAGGAAAACCCGCCCGCCCGCCCTTTTGTGACACTGCGACCTTGGCCATGAACTGTCTGGGAACTACATGCGAACTACCCATCGAGATGATGACTGCTGTTCCGGTTCGACTCTGATTCGACGATGAGACAAAAAGGTCAGAAGTTCATGACTGTGATGACTGATAAGCCAGTCTCTAAAGTACTTGAGGTATTGTATTCTACCTACCTTATCTGCTGCATGTTTTGAACCTGCCACCTGCCAACAAAGGCAGGAGGGCGAAGAGCTGGAGTCCTGGATACCTAGTTGGGCCCTGGGAAGTGACAGGCGCTTCCAGTCAAGACCCCCGAGCATCAGGGAACTCTGGCGGTCACGGGAATGGCAATGAGGAGGGGTCTCGATGGCGACTTGCCGAGTTGATTCGGCTGTGCGGGGGGTTGGGGACATATGGCGTTTCCGGGGCCAACGACTGTCAGTGCTGTTTCTCCATCCACCTTTCGAACCACGATATTGTGTGTCAATCAGGCGTAGATGCATAATTGCGTCTGCTGGCAATGTGGAAACCTCGGAGTTGACCTGTTCCACTCTCAGCGGAACCTTTTTCTCTTTTTTTCTTCTTTTTTCTTTTGGCTTCGTCCGATAAATGGCAGATGCTTGTTTAGAAAGCTTGGGTATCTCGATCGGCGCGAGGAGAACGGGACGGGTGCAAATTAACGCGAAGATCTGGGACCGCAAGGTGGATGAACGGGGCGCTGCTACCTCTCTCTACGCCCACTGCCCAGGCTCTTCCAGCGACATTCCAATTGCGCTGGACAAGACCCGAATACGGCCCGAGGGTATTGCCTCAATATCGCGGCAGGAGTCAGGGTCCTTTTCCCTGTCCTAGAGGTAGACATGTACTTGTCGCCGTCCTTCACTTCAGGCACTGTGGTTCAGCATCTCCCGACCGTTTTGCACCGGCGTTTTTCCTGCGCATAGTTTCGACACTGTAGAATTTGTTGAGACCATTTCCGAAACCCAAGAAAATGTGATGGTAATCTCGGCGCCGAGTGTCGTCGAAAAGGCTTAGTTCCAGCCGAGATCAAGTTTGACGTCTCATCGTCCCAGGGTTGGGGTTTTTGGAGACACCCGACCCATGCATTTTGGGAGCGTGGACATCAACCAGGGCAGGAACAGAAACTTGACACTTCCTTTCAGTCCGCCAGCTGCCAAGATCCAAGATGCAGCGCTGAGAAAGCGTTGAGTGGGTCCAGCTCCATGTCCGTCTGGCAAGCCCGGGCGTCAAACAGCCAAAAAAAAAAAGATGGAGAAACTCTCGGTGCCTGGCAACCCTTTTTTTTTCTTTCTTTTTTTTTCTTTTTGTTCGTCCCTCGTCGGCTCCAACTGCTGCCGTTGTGTGGACGGTTCGGTTCGGTTTGTTGTATTCGCTGGCTCAGTTCTGCCAAGCGCACACAGGAGAAGTCGTCCCGTTGCTCGACGATTCGTCTGACCACATCGCAACCTCTTTGGTGACCCTCCACTCCCCATGATTTCCCTTGACACTTTGACCGCCTTTGTTGCACCAAGTGTGACGCATTCGAGACAGCCGCGTCGTCAAGGGTAATTAATCGACAGTCCAGACGCCAGAACCGCCAGAAGCCTTCCAAGACTCTTCTCTCGATCCCCCCGCATTAAAGGCTACGTCTAGAACGGCCTGTTGCGCACGCACGACTTGTCGACCTTTGCTGCTTCGTGAGTACTCGATCACGATCACTGTTCTCAATTGGAACGTCAAACCGGCGACGGCAGAAACCACCAAGAAAAACCAAGGCCCTGGATAGCGGTTGTGAGGAACGTCCACGATTGTTAATCAGAAATCCAGGGACACCCCAGTGTCGGGTCCCCAAGAGTGGAGTGGAATCCCGATGCGACGGCAATGATCAGGAACTTTCCCATGTTTTTGCCCATCATATCCATCAGCCCCATCCGTCCCCATAGCTCTCCCCCCTGCGTCTCCATTCGGTGTCCTGTCTTCCCCATTTCTACCACGGCAATGCCCAATCATGGTGGGCCAACCGCCAACTTCTTTCTTGTTGTCTCCGCTGACCATGGCCAGTTTGGCTGCAGCTCGACCAAACAGGCAGCCCCGGATTTGCGGATCGCTCGACGTCGGCGAGCTTCGAAGCTGAAAAAAAACACCGCGAAACGCACCTCGAAGCAAAGAAAAAAAAAAAAAAAAAAAAAGTAAAAGCGAATGTGAAAAGGAGTCCACTGCAGAATGCATGCGATGTCGGACAAGGATCGGTCTGCCGGGTGTCCAACCCGTTGCACTCTGTCTCCCTACGGCTCCGCCCCATTGGCGGCTTCTACACTACCCGAACTTCGTTCCAAGAAGAATTGGACTGGATCAGCTCATGGCAAACGGCTCGGTACCTTGTGGCGCCTCTTCCAGCGGCCCCTCGATGTAACTTCTACAAGTCCCGGCCCAATAAGCGACAATCGCATTCGGAATCAAGTCATGGCCTGCATTGACCCTCTGCATCTCATTTTCGCGGCTGTCTCGGAGCCTGTCTCTCCATCCCTCGTCCTAACGGAATCGATTGAGACAATAATAGTCGCCGGCAAGGGGTAAAGCAAAAGGCCGGCGAGCTAGGGACGTTAGAACGGCGAAACGGGTGCCACAGGAGGGGCGCTGTGGGCGATACACACTGTGTGTGTGGGCACCGTTGAGGTGTCGGACGGTACCGTCACCGTGGGCATCACTCCCCATCTGATCAAGGGGCAGAGACATCCCGCCCTTCTGGCACTTCCGCCAACGATCCACGAGCCGCATTTCGGGCAGGCACAGCGGGGGGCAGTTCTACGCTACAGGTACTGCATAGCGTCTCTGCGGCGTACACAGTATGCCATGCCTCCATGGCACACTCCGTCCGGAGGACAGAATCTTGTGGTGCCCGAGATTTCAAATGCCGCCCCGGACACCAGAGTCGACAATCATACCTGCGGTCTGGCCATTTTGTCCTCCATTTTCCTGTCAGAATTGGACTTGGCACGGACATTCCTACCAAAAGTGCATCTACCGTAGTGTAGTCCATTATACCCAAGTTGGCCCGGTCACGGCACGCCTCGTCACGTTTCGTCGAAAGCGGCGGCCACAAGCGAAAGTTGCAACGAAAGTTGCAACGCAGCAATCGTATCCTTCGTCACTTCTCTCATGACCCTCCCTGTCCTTCAACATCCCATCATCCTCCGCCGCCACCGTGGAAAAGATTGAGCATCCCTATTCTCCTCCCTCTTACAAAAAAGACCGCCGGTCAACAAGCGTCAAACCGCCGCCGACGTCAGCTACTTTACCCGTGCCTGTCGCCGGTTACACGACTGAGGCTTTTCCCAAGATTTTTGCAGTTCTACGCCCGAACCAGAGCCGCGAAACTCGAGCGCTGTTACGAGATTGACAGTGTATCTCATTTTCAGCAAGCCGATCCCTGTTCCGAATCTTGGACCGGTCGAACAACAAAAGTCTGAACCCCTGATCCCTGGACACCCGGCCGGATCACTCAAATACACAAAGCGGGATCCGCTGTGTTCCCATGCTGCCGGGCCTAGACTGTACCTACAATCTTCAATAGCTCCGTCACCAGCCACTTTGTCGGCGCCGCGTTCGTTCCCGTCCCGTTCCGTGGCTCCGAATTGTTTCGCCATCACAACTCCGTCCTGATGGCTCCACCAACGCAATACAAGCCCATCCAACCGGCGCCGTTGAAGGTCGCGAAATCGGGCACTTCATCTGGCACCGGCCGTGTTAATGGAGAGAAGCACGCCAGAAGGGTCAAGGCTGTGACACAGGCTTGTCACACGTGCCGCCGATACAAGGCCAAGGTATATTCTAGTTCCCGATCTGATTCTTTGTCTTGAGACGCTGATGGTTTCGTCATTTTCACGATGTATAGTGCGATGGACTTCGACCTAGATGCACTAGCTGCAAAACCAAAAATAAGCCATGCGGCTACGAAGGCGAGGAGGGCCAGTCCCGCCAGGAGGCGATGAAATCACGGCTAGAGGCATTGGAGAGATTGGTGACCGCCCTTCAGCAAAAGTCACCCGAAGAGGCTGAAGCATTGCTTCAGCGTATTCGAAATGCTGACGATATCGTCTCGCTTTCATCGGCTGCTTCCAGCGACAGTGGCGACCGCAATATTCCTGGACTCCATCGCAATGATTCGACGTCGCCCAGCATGGGCGGGTCACTTTCCGACTCATGGACATCACCATCATCAGTCCCGACGGTATCAACCGACATCATCAAGCGTGCTTTACAATCAGCCTCGCCATCTTCCGACGAGTCGTCTGAAGGCGGTATGCAGCTTGTCTCAGATTCAGGGAGCGCCACGGCGCGCCTGCGTGTCGATCATTCGGCGTACCTAATTCGCTTCGTCCTTCCCAATGCGGACGCCACCCGTGCGGCTCTCAACAGTTTCTACAGCTCGAGCGGCAAGCTCTTCCATGTCTTCTCTCAGCAGGACATGGATAGGTTCTTCACAATTGTTTTTGGCTACGATGGACGACCCAACTATTCACAAAAGATGGCGATATGCTGCCTTTGCTCAGTCGCTGCCGTTGGAATTCAGTACAACCCTGATGATTTCGAGAAGGGTTCGGAACACATCTTTTATGAAGTTGCCCGGCGGTATTTCGTGGACGTCCTCGAGGAATCATCACTTGATGCCATCAAGGTTTGCGCCATGTTGGCTTTCTTCAATGTCATGAACAAGGCCACCATTTCGCTTGCTTGGGTTGAACTTGGCATGAGCATGTCTCGACAATTCGGCTTGAATACCAGCATTTTGTTACGCGACGAACAGAACGACCACATGATCGACTACAGGAAGACTTGGAGGACGTTGATGTTCTTCTCCAGTTGGCTTTCATCCACTCTGGGCTACATTTCCGGCAGCACTGGGTCAGACTTCCAGAAGTTTGTCCCCATTGCAGACGTTGAGCCTTATTACCCCCTTCAAGTGACCGAAACCGTACAGAGAGAGATGACCAAGATTTCGCTTCTCAAGGCTGAAATCCTGCGCATGCAACTCGAGTTCCAGGATCTACCCAGACTTACCGTTGTTGCTAACGAATACCTGGAGAAATGGCATGAGAAGCTCCCGATCGAGGTGCAGTTGGCCAACCTTGCCAACCCTGGTCTCGATGACACAGTCCGAAGGTCCATCTATCACGTCCACTTGCTATATCTTGGTGCCATGCAGCTCCTGTACCGATGGATTGCTGCCCGGCTTATTCAAACGACCACTGTCAATGGCAGGGAGGTCATTGTCCCTAGCGAGTCCGTTCCTGAAGAAGACCGCAAGCTGTTGAAGCACGTTTCGCAGGGCCTCATTGCTGCGAAGCACTCGGCCCGTCTGCTTGCTTTGCTGCACGGTGAACGTGGTATCTTCCAGCGCTGCTGGTTGGTCATGTAAGTTTTGACGGCATCACCATCCAACATAATCTTCGAACGCATCAACTAATACATTGCAAATCAGCTTCCAATCCCATACCTCATGCGTCGTCATTTTGCATTCGGTTGCGCAGAAACAAGTTCACGGCTTCCCGGTCAGTTCCTGGGCTCCGGACCTCAAACTCGCGCAGCTGTGTCTGGATACGCTCGAGTTTTGCGGAAGAATCGATCCGGTTGCTCTTCGCTTCCACGTGCGACTATCTGCCATCTTCAAGAGCCTGACAGCCGCTCTTCCGAGTAATGACAACCAAACGACCAGGCAAAGGACGGAAGACTGGGTGACCATGCCTCCTGATTTCCCTCCCATCCCTGGTGCTGCCGGAGTGAACAACAGCGCAGGTACACCACTGGTGGATCCGGAACAGCTTGAGGAGCCGGATCCGGAGTACCTTCTCACCATGCCAAAGGATGCCAAGGAGCGCGTGGTTGCGTTATCACACTCACTGTTGTCGGCACTTTGCCGACCTTGGGGTGGTGACGAGGCGGGACCGGCGGGCACGGCTTGCGCACAGGGGAAGAGCAGCGTTGCGACTGTGGTCAAGGAAAAAGCGGTGGATGAGGAAGATATTCCAGCATCGTCGGCGACGTTTCGTTGGGATCACACAGGCCACCTGGGATCGCGCGGCATGAGCAAATTGGCGAAAGAGCTGGGGTTGACGAAGTCGACTGACGAGTCGGGTCTGGGCTCTTGTTCTTCTAGTGAGCTTAGCCTGGGGAGCGACTGCAGGTTCTTGGACAGCGAGGACCCGCACGGTTGGCAGACAGCGCCAGAGTACATTGACATGCCACAATATTGACCATAATGGGGCGGCGGCGACGGTGCGAAGGACTGGTCAGGGACATGATTTGATGTTAGCAGGCTGGAACTGTAGCATCTGGTTAATCGGGGCGTGCCGGTTTGGAAATGTTGCATAGTACTAGTGTTGGTGTCTCTATTTTTAAGTGTTGTGGGGTTGGGGCATCAGTGTGCGATTTGAACTTAACTTGTTGTACTGTCTTGTTTTTTTTTCCCTTTTTTCTTTTGTTAAATCGAACAAGGTGTATATTAGGCTTAGAGGTTGTAAATAGCACTGCGCATTTTGAACAGCTTTTGTGTGTTTTGGAACTGAATAGAAATCTGAACGTGAGAGACATTGTTGAGCTTTTTTTTTTTGTTTTTTTTCGTTCCCCTTTCAGGGAGGTCATTTCCACTTCATGTCACTGAAAAGGGGTCACGCGTGGTGAAGCCCTATAAGGCAAGCTTACACGGTGCCCAAATTCGTACTAGCGACGCCCCCAAGTCCGTCCCGTCAGGGGAATCGGTACACTATACCTCTATACTCCAATCAAAGTTCAAGAAAACAGAGCACTAACACCCACGGAAATTTCCCCTTTCCTTCCCTTCCCTTCAGGTTTTCTTGCCCGGAACCGGAACGGGCATTCCACTTCGGTTGAACAATACCTCTACTGCCCCGGCCCATTTTTCGGACACTGCATCTCTCCCGTCACTGGTAGGTACTTCAGCTTCGGCTTCATGGAAACTTTCTGCTCTGATCACAACGTTGTTCACGGCGCTTCTTTGGACGACGCGAATGGCCACTTGTGTGCGACCAGGGGATGCACGTCGTCGTGGCGCTTGGGACTTGTCCCCTTTCGTCCTGGGCTCTCCCCGGCTCCCGTTTTTCGCTACAGGGGAGCAACCCCGCCCAGCTCTCAGCGCTTAAAGCCATCCTCGAATCCAGCATCGGTGACCAACCATTGCCGACCATGATGCCGTCCCCGCGACAAGTTATGTCAACACAGCCAGTCAAGCACTCGGCCCCTGGTTAGGCACTGGCCGGGGGATCGGCCATTGCCCAAACGGCCGGGTCATCCCTATTGCGCGGATTGGTCGCGGCGGCGCGCTTGCGCTTGTTCGTCCGGTATTCAGCCTGTCCGTCGTTTCAAGACGCGCTGCATTTGCACTGCATCGAGCTGCAGCGATGGCATCAACGGCATCCCGTGGATGTAGGACCTGCCACCACATGCCACACCACATGGGTCCCGGGGAACGTCTTCAACCACTCCCGTGGACCGTTCTGGAAATGGAAATGGGCACTATTGCAAAAAGTTGGGTTCAAGGTGTGCTCATCTTGTGTCGCAGGGCTGTGACTGTTTTGATGTTTGGTCTCTGATGGTGGTGTGGATGCTGGAGTGTCGTGGTAGGGTTACTTCTGTTGCTGATTTCTCATGGCTAACACCATCCAGACACTCCCGTCACCTTTGTGTTCATATCTGTGCAAGTTTCCTTTTCCCTATTCAATCTGGTGTTGCACGTCGAAGACCACTTCTGCACACAGGCGTTTGGTTCCCTTTCCTTCTTCCTTGTTTCTTTCATTCCATAACTTACATGTTTTCTTGACCGTGCCGCTCGGGGCGACCTTGGTCAGCTTACTCGAAATATCTAATGGGGTTCTCCTGGAAACCACAACAACAACAACAACAACAACAACAACTTCACCCTAACCAACCGGCCCTCATGGCT